TTATTTAGGTTTAGAGTTAGAATTTACCTTGAATTGTGAGGTGGTGGAAGCGGAGCCAAGCTTTTGGAAGCGGCGGCGCTGCTAGAAGTGGCGGCAATGGAGGAGTTGGGGCTTAAAGGCTTGGTGGGGGAGAGGGTTAAAGGTTTGTGGGAGGTGGAGATTGGGGATTTAGGTTTGAGGGTTTAGAAAATGGGGGTTTTGAAGTTGAAAATTCGGGAGGGCAGGTCTGTCTCAATATAGAGCTGATCTCTTTTTTTTTTAAAAGGCCTGGACCAAAACGACGTCGTTTTGGCCAGGTCTTTTAAAAAAATTTCGGTGCTGTGCAGCTGGCCCAAAACGACGGCGTTTTGGCCAGCGCAGTTTTAAAAAAAAAAAATTCGCTACCAAAACGACGTCGTTTTGGTAAGCGGGTTTTAAAAAAAAATAGAAGCTGGGCCAAAACGACGCCGTTTTGGCCAGCTCCTTTTGAAAAAAAAGAACAGATTCTGTTCATCTTCTTCTTCCTCAAGACCTCTGCAACTTTTTCTCCAGATTTTCATGGGGTCACATAGCATTTCAAAGGAGCCTTCTACCTTACTTTCTTGGAGTCCATAGGGTCGTTTGACCCCATTGACCCCACTGTGGGTCCGTCCCTGCTATTGGTCCATGTCCAGTAACAATGGCCTGCACAAAAGAAACAAACATGGAAAACATGGCCAGTCTTCCATTCTTCAGTTCCTTCACCTTCAGCTCCGCAAAAGCTTCTAGATCTTCTGCGAGGCCTAATGGGTCAAAGCTCCCACCTGGGTACAATGGGTCTGTCATCTCACCCAGAGGCCCACCGGCGATTCTGTAACCTACTACAGCACCCATTAAGATAACTTGTGTTGCCCAAATTGCCAAAATGCTCCCAAGTAGTCTAGCCCACCTTCATTAAAGATTTGGGTCCCAGCCTTGAACCAAACAGCTTCGCCGAACTTGACTCCGTTACGGGACAAGAGTTCAGGGAAAACACAGCCCAGAGCACCAAGCATGGCCCATCTTGAATGAATGACCTCGAGCTCACAGTTCTTGGCAAAGGTCTCTGGGTCAGCTAAGAGCTCAGCAGTGTCCCAACCGTAATCACCAGGAAACTCTCCGGTGAGGTAAGATGGGGCCTCGCTAGAGAATGGGCCCAAGTACTTGACATGGTCCGGCCCATACCACGGGCTGCCGGATGATACACTTTTGGACTTGGTTGCGGTTTTGCGCATGGTGACCCGACCCTCACCAAGAAGGTTAGATGTAGTGGGACTAAGCCTGACAGCTTGGCCAGCTAGAGAAGGGAAGGAGAGAGCCATTGTTGAAGATAGGGGTGGTTGCAGTTTGGTTACAGCGATTTTTTGGCCAAATCGCAAACTGACAAACTATTTGCAGTAAACCGTATTACGGTAAAACCGCAATTTCAGTTGGTTAACGTGAATTAACGGTTTAAACCGATTGAGATATTTTGCACCTAAATTATACAATTTTAAGTCTTTTAAGTTGGGTCTTTTTGTGTCATAAAAATCCAATCTTCCATAGTTTTGAAGCCTTTTGAGTCCAATCTTCCACAGAGTCACATTGCTAGATTCATCTCCAGTTACCTTGCATGCCATGCTCATAGCCTATTTAAAGGTCTCTAAAGGTTCCAATGGTTCTAAGCCCAAGCAGTGAGAATATTGGAATAAAATAAAGGGAGTTTCACTAAAACACCCAAAATGGGGGTTGAAATTATAAAAAAACCTAAGCACTATTTAAACATATAAACACACCCAAAACCCATCATTACACACTCAAAACCCATTTATAAATACACCCAAAAAGTTGACTTTGGGGTTGATTTTGGGTGTGTTTCTATGTTTAAATAGTGCTTGGGTTTTTTTATAAATACATGTCTAGTATTGGGTTTATTTATAAATTTGTATAAAATAAATAGACCAACACATATAACACACCAACACATTCTCAAATTGGAATAAATAGAACATAAAACACACCAACTTAGCCAAATTAATTATTAGCAAACAAATTTTAAAGGGTAAATAACGTAATAATTATGTATTTATCAATTAGATTAGGTATGATCATAGACGTTACATTAATCCGTTAGATTAATCTAATGGCTATCAATTAATTAAAAATACATATTTTTATTATTAATTAAAAAATGTTTGCAGTTTGCGGTAACCGCAAACTTGGAATTTTCCAAACCGCCACCACAACCGCAATTGCGGTGCGGTTCCTCAAACTCTAAATTGCGGTCGGTTTTCCCGCTTGTTTGGTTCAAATGCGGTAATATCTCGGTTGGTTTATGCAGTTTTTCGGTCTAAAATGCCACCCCTAGTTGAAGAGGCCATTTTATAAAAATGAAAGTGTATTGTATTGAGGGTTGCCTTTTAGACAATGTGAGATTGCCAAGTGCCAAGAGTGTTAGAGCTTCTTGTTGTTTGAGTAAGACGGTATATAATCTGTATATTTATAGTGTTGGTGCATGGGGTCCTTATCTTATCTAAGTTATATATCTTGATCTGTTTTCTTATTGGTGAAAAAGTAGTTCACATATTTTCTCTCAATGAATTCTCTTCCTTTGCTTCACTCCAGTTGGCTTGCCAGGCTCCACTGGTAAATTGTATTATTTAATCTCTTTGTCAATTCTTGGTTGCTGTTCTATTTTGGATGTTTGATAAGCCCTGACCTCTCTGACCAATAGAATTTTCCCACGTACTCTCTTGGATGAGAGTTCTAAGAATATTGGATAAGGAGAGAAGAATCTAACAGTAAGAAATCTCTGTTGGCTTCATCAACTGGAAGCCCAAAATGAATGACTTATGCCCTTGATTTGTATACCAGAGGGGTATAGATACAGATCATTAGCTAAATAATCTGGATTCTGAAGTAGTTTAACGAATGGGGTCTATGAAACTCATGGTCATCATAAAGAAAAACAAAATAATACCATTCAGACTGAGGCCAAATAAAAAAAGAAAATGCCATTCAGATTGAGAATTCAATATAGCTATCAATCATGTCGAAAGAAAGAACTGTGTAACCTAACATGAATTATACATAATCTATAATGTCCAGGGCAGTCCAACTCCGATTTAAGAGAATTCATGAATCCATTGCTCTGGTGTTGAAGATTTGAATATTCGGAGAAGCAATGCCCTCTCCCTTCTGCCTAGCTTCTTTGCACCATAACCCCTGAAAACACCAAGCTTAAGTGCTTTTTGCCCTTCTTCCAGACTCCTTTTTCTCACAGCCATCAGTAAATCTGTTCCTTTGGAACTAATGTTCTCTTCTTTCCCACTTTCACATTTCTCTCTGTCCACTACAGTTGAACTTGCACCATCATCTGCCAATTTTTCCGACTGATGTTTCTTGCCTTCATCAGTCTCAGCTCCTTGTCCACGAACGCTCTCATAACCATCAGGGCTATTGCTTCCCCACCATTTATTGGATGCAGTGGATAAGCCATCAGATGGGAATCCATGTTTAAATTCATCATAGGTTGTATTTCCTTTAGTCAAGCTTAAGGTGAGTATATTCTGGGGACGTCCAGTCTGAACATTCTTGCTTCCTTGCTGCTGCGCAGGAGGAGAAACTGTGATGCCTTGTGATTTCGCCATTTCACTATCTGGGTGTTGAGATCACTGCATTCCAAAAGTTAAAAGGAGTAAGATGAATGAGAAGGACAAAGAAACAAACGCTCTTTTTGAGTAACTAAGAAAAGAAATTAAAGCCATTTTTGAATTTTTTTTTTTAAAAAAAAGAAAGGAAAATAGCTCTTTTGCACAAAACTTTAAGGCAAAAAGCAACCCGAAAATCAGGCAAAATGTGGTATGTTATCACAGCTATGAAGTTAATTGCAAGAAGTAGCATCCATCAAGGATAAGTTACAGATGGGAATAACTCAAAAGAACAATGAAAGAAGAAAGACTTTTTCCAGGGAACATAAAAGATGAGTCAAAGAATTTGACAGGAAAGCACCACCAGGGATCCATACACTAGTCAGACTCTGCTTAATCCACATTCAATCCCTTATTAACATCTAAAGCTGAAGCCTTTCTGATGATTCATTAACGTTCTAAACGCGGGATTTTGAAGCATACCCAAAAATTTCCTTCTTTTAATCCTCAAGCATAATGTATCAAGCCCAAATAAAATAAGCTCTTCCGTATAAATGCAAAAGTCTCTGCACAAGTAGTGTCTTTGACCAAATAGGAGAAATAGCAACCAAAAATCTAGCTGAAACTCCGCCAAGATCCGAACTTTGTGCCCCAATCTTTGGCATACAAACCTTGTTTCTCGTATCTTCAGAAAACCTTTCAATCTCTTGTGCGGAAGAATATAAGAATTTGAATAACATTTTTGAAAAATGAATCATTATTGTTAAGGGGGCATTTTCTTCTCTACAGAAACACTTGAACACACACCCATCAAATGAATTAATTAAAAATGCTAATACGCATTTCTTTCTAGATGGGTTGTGACCTTATGGAAAGTACATTTCTAGCTTCCGGAAGCAAGAAAAGGTAATTCCAAAACGACATAGCTAAACGTTTAGCATGACGGGGCAGCAAAACAACATTTCCCGAACCAATTTCCATTATTTTCCCAGAAATTTTACTGTCCTTGTTTCTTTTCTACCCTCGTTTCCCCGAAACCAAACAGAAGGCAAGACATCAAACACAAAATAAATAAATATACATGAGAGATAGAGAGAGATTACCGAGAGCAGAAGCGGCATGTCAGTTGGAAGAAGATTTAATTCGATACTTGATGGGGGGAGAGAGAGAGATTGTGCTGGTTCTTAACTCTCGAATCCGGGAAGGCGTTTGGTAATTGCAGTTTGCAACCTGAATTTTGGGTTTTTTTTTCGAACCAACAAAAAAGACAGAATTTTGTGTTTACAATTTTCCACAGTTCCAGCACACTCCTTTGGCCCAGGCAAGGCAACGGCCAACACGTGGCAAGATCGAGTCAGTTGAATTTAGTTTTTTTTTTCCCTTCCAATTTTATGAAATGCTTAATCGCTTTTAAGTTTTTCTTTTGGTCAGAAAAATCACTTAAAAATAAAAAACTTAGGCGGGAGTAAAAAACAACCTACAGAAACAATTCAATCCAAGTGGTTGTAATTTTTAATCGGAGTGAATTGTACCCCGCAATTAATTCGATTTGGTTCAATTTAATTTTTTTCCTTGAAGCAGATGCTCCCAAGGGTAGATGCAGTTTTTTTACTTTCCTTTTTCATGTAGATTAATTTACTTAATTAATTTATTTATTATGAAAAAAAGTTTAAAAGGAGATTGGCTACTCTTACCACTTGAGTCAGGACATACCCACAACCTCAAGTCGGGACTTGAACACTGGTGGGACTACACATAATGCAAGGATTACCAACTAAACCAACACTCGTAGGCGTTTGGTTTATTTAAGTGCGTTTTTGGCCATATTTGAAAGTTTTTATAAAAATTGACATTTATGAATTTGAAGGTTAAATTTGGACTATTATTGATAAAAACTTGCTGAAAATGGTGGATGTTTTAATCTGCTGTTAGAAAATCTGATTCTCTGCCTAAGCCAAAGGCAAAAGGAAATCAAACCCAAACATCCTCAGAAAGTTAGAGAAATCTTACAAATCCAATGAAGATTCAAAATTTTGAATTAAACATCACAAGCGGAAACAAGGTAGCAGCAGCAATCCAGTAGGTTTCTATTCTAATAATATACATGAAAGTATGAAACTTAAATAGGCAGTGAGGGGCAAATAAAAAGAAATACAAGTCACTCTACTTGATCTCCTCCCCCATAAAAATAGTATCTGTGGTTCTGTGGAATTTTTCACATAGTAAATTATATTCTAATGTGGATATGAACCTCAGATATGCTAAAAACTTGGAAGCAGATCAGATGCCATTTCAAGTCTGTTCCCGTGACGTCGTCTTGTCTTTCCTCCCTGCAAGAATCATTGAAATTTGTAGGCCTCTACTGAATGCTTGGTTGAAGAGCAAACGTGTCTGGAACTCCGATACGAATGGGAACCATGACAAAATGGCTATGGGCATGAAGATTATAAGTCCCATTATATAATCGTATGCTCTCCCCAGCTCCTTTATTGACTCCCAGAATCCTAGACCCTTAACCATCCTCCTGCATGCTTGCCCAATCTTGAATGCACAAAATAAACAATTGGTTTAGTAAATTCACACTTTAAATGAATGTTAATGTTGTTAACAGTTTAGGACATTTTTTTTCTGAGCATAATTTTGAGAAAGGTATTTTGAAACGAAAACTCTCAACGAGCTATTGCATAAACTACAGAAGACATTTCACTTACCAGAAGAAGGGCCCATCCTGTGGGCAAGAAGGCAAGGATAGAAGCAAATAGATCTGAGATAGTAAGGCCACAAACAACAAATAGGACAGTCATGACTGACATGAAACCAAGAAAAAGAAGTGCTTTCAGAATCCTGAACATGAGCTGGAAGTCTGTGCCAAATCTTCGTCTACCCATAGAAACCATCTGTGAGAGAGAGAGAGAGAGAGAGAGAGAGAGGCACCAAAAGAAACATCAGACCAAATAAAGAGATATAGAAATAGTGATCCCAGAAAAGAAAAAAAGGAGAAGGAAAAAGTAAAAAGTATGCTTATGTTTTCATCACTAATCTCTAAAGGCATAATTGCATAAGTTATTTGTGATTTCTACCTTTAAGACGAGAAGAACGGTTACCATAACTACCCAAGAAAGTCCATAAACCTGCAAAGAAATTGAAAAAGTTGGAAAACTTAGGCCGTAAACCTAAACAACTCTTTATAGGCAACCAAGAGAACAAATAGTCAAATATAATGGGACACAAATAATACCAGCAGAATCTTGCTGTGATGAGCTATATCAAGGTGGTAAACAATTCCATATTGGTAAACAAAGAAGCGACATGCAAGTATTATCTCAATAACTCTTCCCCGGATAACTGTGTGTTTGAGGTGTTCCTGTTCTTCATCCCACCATGATTCCCAACTTTTGTCAGGTGAGATCCCAATACCACCACGATTTCCCATCCACCTCTTCCAATCTGTCCAATCATCTACAGTTTTCTGCCAGTCAAAGCTGGATGGATTGAATACAAAAGGAGCAAACAACCAGGAAGCAACCAGAAACCACATGGAGAAAGTGATGAAAAAATAAAGATTTGAGCTCTTATAAGCTTTCCCGTAGACTCCATACACAATCAGCAGAATAAGCAGCTCCAACCCTTTCACAAAATGACTGCGCGAGTATAGCCTGTAGTTATCAGAAAACTTGGCATGGAAAACAACAAAACCACGGCCAGTTGCTCGGTATTTAGATCCTCCATGTAAGATTGTCCTTCCATAGTAATGTACTTTTGTTCCTAGTTGGAATGTGAAGAAAACAGAGGCCAGCTGCAGCTGCATGATAATAAAATCACCCAAGGCAGTGCGGAACCCTTTCTCCAGGCCAATTTCCATTACCATGGGAAGCACAAGCAACAAGCCCAGTTGAAAGACAGACTGGGTAGCCAAAGACTGTTCGAAGGCCTTGTTCTCATGTATGGCTGGGTTATCCAGGATCTCGCTCTCCAATCCACTCATGACCAAGTAGACACGTCCATATAAAAACACATATACAGTCAGCACAGTTACCTGAAACAATATAATGCCCATATCAAGATGCAATACATACTTCAAATTGTAAAAGATTATACCCTTCCAAGCAACATCTACACATAAAGCCAAAACCAGCCAAAACAATTCCTCAAAACTTTAGGCGTACTCTTCCTATTGATGCAATTCTTAGATTCAATCAATTTAGCTGTCATGAACATTGTATTGGTAACATCTACAACTATTGTACAATTTGAAGAATCGGATCACTTAACATGAATCAAACACAGCCAACCTAGTCCTTTAGAGAAAAGATTATTTAATCAAATGCAAAGACTGCTGTCCAAGCCTATCTGCTATAACCTAATAGATACTAAGTAAATCAACAAACAAAGGAGATTGGTTTTAGCTAACATACCATACTACTAAAATAGAATCCAACCGTTGTGAAGTAAAAAGACAGCATTCTATAGAAATCAAACCGACGCCCAAGCCGGTAAACATCGCGGCTAAGTGTCTGTTCTCCATTTCCATTTGCAACCTTAGCCTCAAAAAGCGATATTTGATTCATTCCCACATCACGCCCCTTGCCTACTTGGATATACTCGTGATGTGTTATAAATCCCCCACGCATGGTTGAATTGTACCCTGTAGACATCCAACAAAATTACAATTAGTCAACAGATAATACTTACTAGTCAGGGATCTTCTGATGAATGGCAAAATTACCTGCAAATATATCCTCGCTTAAGTTAATTACTTTTGAAGCTTTGCTTATGCCACCCCTTGTTATGTGGAAGATTCTGTCAAATATATCAGGATGACCATAATGGAACCGTACCCTGTCAAGTGAGAATGGCATTAGAGAGATACTAGAATGGTAATAGTACATAAATACATCAGAACTTTTCCTTTTCTAAAAAACCAAAAAAAGAAAAGAAGAAGAAACGATTGGATTGTGAAAAAAGAAAGGCAATTGAGGATTGGATTACAATTCTGGCGGCTAGAGTTAAATGGAAACCCAAGCCCAACCTGAGATTGAACAAACTATCCATACCAATAGCTACGGCCTAGGATGTGCTGAATTTCTTCTTTTTAACTTGCAAAAGGTGATTAAGGAGTCATTAGCCAGTGACATGAAACCAATTTAAACTAGGCTTCTCCCTTAAGTATATACTTCAGAAAATTCTAAGTTCACATTTTAACAGTGGATTGTACTTCCATATATGTCATCTGGCATAACTTTGGACTAAGACTGTTAATCATTCTTTAAAATAGAAAAACAAATTAAATAAGACACTTTTAACAATCTTACATAAACTTTACCATTCTCTTCAATTTTTATTCACCTTGTCCACTGCCTAAACCTTTAAATATTAGAAGCCACAATACTCCACAATTTTTTGAGAAAAGAAAACTGAGTATATGGCAAAATTTACGCTGACTGGTCCGGTCTGTGAATTGTACTGTGCTGATATTATTCCCATTACCGGTAGAAATAAAATTATAAATATGATACGTACATAATATTCTATTATAAAGTAAATAGGACTCTTCTATTAAGGTCCCCCACCCCTTTAAGAAAAGAAAAGGCAACCAAACAAAGAATGTACAAATTTAAACTGAAATGTGGCTCAGTCAAATGTAATTTAAGGCTTACCTCAGCGGATTTGCCAAAATTCTTTGACCAATAGTTACAAAACTAGTCTCTTGATTTGACATAAACCAAGCAAGTGATGAAACACTGAAAATTAAGAAGGAAAAACAAAAATAAGCACATAACAATACAATTGCCACTAATCAGTAACATATCTGCAAAGAATCCCTGTCACAGCAGTCAATTAAGGTCCAATAAATTGTGAAGAGATATATTAAATACAAATTTATAAATAAACCCAATCCTAGACATGTATTTATAAAAAAACCCAAACACTATTTAAACATAGAAACACACCCAAAATCAACAATTGTATATTTTTTGGGTGTGTTTATAAATGGGTTTTGAGTGTGTGTAATGATGGGTTTTGGGTGTGTTTATAAAGTGTTTTGGGTGTTGGGTTTTTTTATAATTTCAGCCCCCATTTTGGGTGTTTTAGTGAAACTCCCTATATTAAAAGGCTGACCTTCCAGTGAATATATGCTCCCGTAGCCCCAATATTGTTGGTTTCCGTTGCCCAAGACGAGGCTTTAGGAATTCCTCCAACACATTTCTCATTTTGAAAGCTTCTTCAAAGTAATTATCCTGGAAAAGAGGATGAATAAGGC